TTTTTTTTTTTTTTTTGTACCGGGGATCGAACTTGGGTCCTTGCACTTGCACAGGAGGCAGCAAAACCACCGAGCTAAATCCTCGGCTCTAACCTTTAACATTTTTATATTGACTTCATTGTTCCTCTCAAAAGACTGCCTCCCACTTCTGTTTAATCTTGAGTTCTCAGGGTAGCTTATTATTTCAATTGTTTATGGAATTAATTCAAAAATTTTTTTGTTTGTTTATTTTTTTGGTATGAGGGATCGAATTTGGGACCTTGCGCTTTCGAGGCAGGTGGCGGAACCACTTGGCTAAATCCCCAGCCCACAAAATGGTTTTAAAATCACTCATCTTGCTTTCTTTAAAGAACTATTTAAAATGATCACTTTTACATTTCATCACCTGAATTCTTGTGCCATTAAGCAAATTTATGTTTGTATAATGTTGATAACTGTTATTTCATATATGTTGTAGCAAATCCTATTTGAGGTTTTCCTCCTGTGCTTCTTCTATGATATGCAGAGCATTACTGTATGGTGGAATGCGAGAGTCTCAGCCTGAAGCAGAAATCCCTCTCCAGGATACCACTGCTGAAGCATTCACAATGCTTCTCAAATACATCTACACTGGGCGGGCAACCCTGACAGATGAGAAGGAGGAGGTGCTGCTGGACTTTCTGAGTCTGGCTCATAAATATGGATTTCCAGAGCTGGAGGATTCTACTTCTGAGTATCTCTGCACCATACTTAACATCCAGAATGTCTGTATGACTTTTGATGTTGCCAGTCTCTACTCACTTCCCAAGTTAACTTGCATGTGCTGCATGTTCATGGACAGAAACGCTCAAGAGGTGCTCTCAAGTGAAGGTTTCCTCTCCCTTTCCAAGGTGTGTCATTTGCTGCAAGTAATTTATAGGCATGCATTGTTTTATTTATATATTGTATACAGTGCAGCAATGGTGTAAGAATATTTGGTGTAAGAAAGATCACTTCTATCAAAGAGGTTACTGGTCTCACCACTTGAATCTGGCTGCTGGGACTCTAGATCTTGTAAGAGAGAAACTGGTTCTGTTTTCATTTAAGATTCTGCAGATAAATTTTATGTTCAAAAGATACTGTGCTGCTGGGTGGTTGTTTTCTATGTGATCATAGTTAAACAGGGTCCTTTGTGATAGTGCATGTTATTTTTTGGTTTTATATTTCTCTGACAGAGTTCAACTAAATTCTTTATAGCAACAGGGAAAATTCACAAAGGAGATATGTCATTGATGTTTTTAAGTCACTGGTTTTTTTTGCTGATTTAAAATTCACTATTGTAAGTAGAATAAAACTATTTTAGTTCAAATCTTTCTCTAAATTTTGGATGGTGGTTCTTTCTCCTTTTTTCTCCTTTCTGTGTTCCACCGATGACCTGGGTGTCTCTAATGAGAAAATCTTTTGAAAAGTACTGTATCTTGGTTTGAGTGTAAACTATGATTTTTATTATCCTACTTAGTTTTTAAAAGCAAAGATCTTTGAATTTGCACCAGTGTTGATGGAAGTCCATCTGGCGAGCTGAGAACCAAAAATATGGTAGTGTAGTAATACCATGCAGCAAAAGATTTGGAATTTTAAATGCCAGGTATATCTTAGGGACTTACAAGTATACACTCTTTTAGAGAATCTGTATGCATTTGTAGCCCCTCATTTGTCACTTTTCTTCTTGCTATTTTAAAAAAGATGGATATACACGTGTTGGAAAGGCTAGATGCTTTATGTAGTGGTAGAGTATTCCAGGCAGGAAAGAAAGGTGCTACTGCCTTTCTTATTTATCACACAGCCACAACAGGCAAGATAATACATGATTCAAAGCCTAAGGAAAAAAGAAGATTTAAAGAATTAATTGCTTGTAATCCCAGCACTCTGGAAGGTTGAGGCAGGAGGATCACATGTTTAAGCCTAGCCTGAGCAAGTTAATGACTTAGTGAGACCCTGTCCAAAAAATAAAAATGTCTGAGGAGGTAGTTTATTATAGAGGCCCTGGGTTCAATCCCCAGTGCTGGAAAAAAAAAATTATTGCCTAAGTGCAAATGATACTACGGTTCTCTAAAGTTTTGTTGACTGATCCTGAAAATAGTTGGACTCTATCATAACTGGATTTTTTCCTCTTTATCCTTTCAGACAGCACTTTTAAACATCGTATTAAGAGATTCATTTGCAGCTCCCGAAAAAGATATTTTCTTAGCTTTGTTAAACTGGTGTAAGCACAATTCAAAGGAAGATCATGCTGAAATCATGCAGGCTGTGCGTTTACCTCTGATGAGCCTCACTGAACTTCTGAACGTTGTGAGGCCTTCAGGACTGTTGTCTCCTGATGCCATCCTGGATGCTATTAAAGTACGATCAGAGAGCCGAGATATGGACCTCAATTATAGAGGCATGCTCAGTAAGTACCTGTTGATCTTCAACTCACTGAGAGGTTCTGCTTGCACATTATGCCATTCCCAACTACAAAACTCGAGCTACAAGACTATAGTGCAGGTATACATGATGGGCTATGAACATAGAACTGCTTCCTGTGCAATATCTTTCTCCTGTTAATTCTTTCTGAGATTGACTAGCCATTACTGACCTTGCCAACAATGATTTTTCTTGTCATTCCTGGACAGATTTGTCCAACTGCTGCTCTGGATGTCATAAATAAGACACTTTCCTGAAAAGTTTCTTCTCATTCTATGTCTTATCCTGTCTTCCTCCATCAAAGAAACATTGAGTTGGGGCCAGGGATTTAGCTCATTGGTTTTGCCGCCTGCTGCGCAAGGACAAGAACTCGAGTTTGATCCCTGGTACCAAAAAAAAAAAACATTGAATACATTCTGTGTACTTATTTCAACTTGCCATGTTAGTGGTAATTAAAATATCTGTAACAATAAAAAACACTACTGAGGCATTTCCAACACTTATGTGCTGATTTTATTAATGAAAATAATAGCAGTTATCGCATATAAAGTACTTACTATGTATCCAAAGCAAGCCCTGCATAAACATTTAATTTTCAAATGACTTTTTAAGGTAGATATAGTTTTTAACTACATTTTACCAAGAAGGAAACTGAAGTACAACAAATGAGCTGAGTCAAACCTATGTAGTTCACCTCTGAAGTCTATGTAACCACTAAACTATGCTGCGCAAGTGTAAAACATAGTCTTTGTCTTTCATCCTTTTGATTTCATTGTGGGCATAAGACATAATAACTCCTAAGAAAATTTAAACAAAACAACATTCATGAGGGTGTGTGCTATGACACTTCAGAAGAGAGTGGCTTAGAAGGATTGAAGGAGATTTCATGGAGATTATGAAATACAAGTTTGATTTGGAAGGTGTGGGGCTGGGTGAATTTCAGGTGAAAATACGGGTGAGGTTAATAGACTAGGATTAGAGCATTTGAGGGACTGTGGAAGAACTTGATTAAAATAGAAGGCTTATGTTAAAAATGACAGTAGTTAATAATAATAAAGTGTGTGTAAGTCATTTCAAGCCAAATTGTGGAGATCTTTGAAGATTGGAATTTCACTCAGGTGCAGTGAGGAACCAGTTTAAGAAAGGGACAGTGGCATGTGCACAGCAGAAGTTTGGAAAGATTGATTTGTGGTGCACATTTGATTTTGAATAGGGATAAAGTGGACTTAGGAAGACCAGTGAGGTCTTCTGCACACAATTAGTGCAGCTTTAAATTAGAGTCGTGGCAAGAAAACAGAAAGTAATGGATGTACAGAAGGAATATTATAGAAAAATATTGCATCTTGGTGATTCAAGGGATTTAAATTTAGAGATTAACTTTAGGATAAAATTATCATGTTTTCTAAAATTTAAGAGCCAAAAATCTAAGAAAGGTACAGTACTGCTCGTTAAACCGTGATGTACACCATGATGACTTTGTAGTTTCAGAAATGTTAAGTTCTTTGCAGGAGATGCAGAATATTTTTTATAGATTTATTGAGTCTGAGAGTGTCTGGGACATTAAGTGGTAAGTTGTATCTCATGCTACTCATTTCTGAGAGATCTCTTCCTTGACCATGGCTTTGGAGGTACTTGAAAGACTGATCTTAAATAGGCATCCTTAGCTTCTTGCCTGATTCATCTGATCTAGATTGCTTTTCTCTGAGCACAGAAGACAAAAGCATGTGGGAATTGTCACAGTGATCACATTGTTTGAAACATTTTTGTTTACTTGGCTTTGATGCTTGAAGGCAAGGATGATCTTTGTAGGCCTTATTGATGTTTCTATCCTCATTATATAACAGGTACTTGGTGATTGCTTGGTGAATGAATCAGGAGAGATCTCTAACAGGAAGTGGAAACACATTGCTGGTGTTGAAGAGTCAAAGCTGGTGATAAAAAAGTTGAAACCTAGGCTAGAATATAGAGAAAGAAGTAAAAACCAAAGTCTAAGACTTGAAGAAGACCAATAGCCAGGGGACTTTTAAAGAAGAAAGAACTGGAAAGGCAAGCAGACACCTTAGATAGAGAATGACAAAGACTAATCAGAAGAGAGCTGTTACATAGAGGGAGTGGTTAATAGTATCCAAGATGCTGGGAAGTAAATGGGAATGAAAATTGAGATAAGACTTTGGATAGAAATTGTGAATTGGTGAGTAGTCTGGGCAGAAGCCTGGCTGCACACAGAATTAGGCCATAAATGTTTGAAAAAACAGTGGATATAATGTGATGGTATACGGTTTGTGAATGGAGGTGACAGGTAGTAGAGAGGTAATGGTAGAAGGTAGCCTCAGAGAACAGGTTGGGAGAGGGCTGGAGGTGCTAGTTGAGAGTCAGCCTTTGATGAATTGTGGGAGGATAAAAGGTAAAGAGGTAACAAGATGAATAGTTAATTTTAGACTTTCCAAGTCCTCATTGTTGTATCTAACTTCTAGACTTAAAATAATGATTAAATGGCAGGTTGGCCAAGCATGGTGATGCATGCTTATAATCCCAAGTACTTGGGAGGCTGAGGCAGGCAGGAGGATCACAAGTTTGAGGTCCACCTGGGCAATTTTTTGAGACCCTGTTGCAGAATCAAAAGTGAGAAGGGCTGGGGGTACTTTAATGTTAAGAGAGCCCCTGAGTTCCCACCCCAGTACTGTGAACAAAACAAATCTGTTTCTGTACTGTTTTCAAGTATTTGAATAGTAAAATCGTAAATAGTATGGAAACATACTACTTTTCTATCAGATCCTTAAAATAGATTAAATACTATTCAAGCGTTATTTTCTTTCATCAAATTTCTTCAGTTAGGAAAAAGGTCTAAAATTTCTGAATTGTTCCTGGGCTGATGATTTAGGAATTATTGTCAGAATTTGCACCCCATCCCTTGAGCACATGGTGCGTTTCTATAGGGATTCTTCATGAAATGTAGAAGATTCTATCTTGGGAATAGGGGCATAGACACTAATGCTTTTTCTTTGTATTCATTAGTATTGGTTTCTAGAAAGTTTAATTCTTACAACTGTATATCCTAAAGATTTTAAGCAAATTGGAGATATTTTTTAACTTTCTTTAAAAGGAAAAAAAGGATCTAGAGTTTGTTTTAAACTTACCAGTGATGATTGGTCTTTCTGACGGTAATTTAAACTAGTTTTATGCATATAAATGATCATTTATACAGCTGGGAAAAGAAAATTTTTTTGAAAAATTTTTTTGAAATTATTTTTTCCTCAGGATATTTGATGTACTTGTACCATTTCCTTAACATTCAGTTTTATCTTAGCTATGGAGATACTTCTATTTTGAACATTAGTGCTTTTTCTTTAAGGCTGAGTTATACTTTTTTTTTTTTTGGTACCGGGGATCGAATTCGGGTCCTTGCACTTGCACAGCTGGTGGTGAAACCACTGAGCTAAATCCCCAGCCCTATACTTTGTTTTGTATATCTCAAATTTTAGACTTTAGGAAAGATAGTTTCTTGTTTCTGCATGTTTATAACAAGGTACTATATCACATCTATCCAAAGATTTCTTAGTAAAAGTCAGTGTTTTCCTAGGACTGTTAGGTTAAATTATCGGTTAATATGAGAGAGAAAGAGGAGAGGGGACAGGAGAGGAGGAAGAATCGGTCCTGTTAGCCCTGTACCTTTTCCTGTAGAGTCCAGTCATGAGACTGAGGGAGCCTGGCCACTGTGGTGTTGCAATTGCTATTGTGATATTATAACTGTTGGCTTACTAGCCTAAGCTCCTATTAGACTGAGCTTTTTGGGACATGACTGTAATTGTATCTTTTTGCCTGTGGGTTTTTTTTAAAAAGCACCAAGTACAGTGCCTGAACTTAGAATAAAAAAAAAAAATGAATCTATTCTTTGCTTCTAAAGTGGACTTTGAGTCTGTATCACCTATCACACACAGGCACTAGTAACAATGAATTTTTAGTAGTTTTAAAACCTCAGACTTGTTATTATTTTCTCTTTTCAACTATCGTTTGTTGTGATGGGGAAATTCCATCTGTTAACTAGGGGGTTCAATTTGGGAAGCTGATCAGACTCCCAATCACCTGACCAAAGGTATGGTGGCGGAATTAAAGACAAGACAAAAATCTTAATGCACAAATGGGGCCCCCAGGATGGTCAGAGCTCTTACCTTGCTAAGACATTTTCTCCTAGAGCTTGCCACTGTTTATTGAACACACAACTTCTAGAAAAGGGGTAAGAGGCCGTGCAGGGAACAGTGAAGTGGAGAGTACTGATTCGAGCAGGGTCCTAGCAACAAGGGAACGAAACATTCTAGCAAGAACAGCTCATAGATTAATGGGAAATTTGTTTCTTCCCATGGATTAATTATGCCTCTATAGGAGTTTTCTGTATGAGTCATGCTCCTTAGCTGTCATCCAAGACATCACAGTGTCATGGATCATTGAGACCTCTGCTGTAGCCAGTGGTGTGGGGAGTTGTTCCTTTCCCACACACCAACTGCTAGCTCTTCAGGCAAGCCATTGTGGGCTAATAGGCAAACTCAGACTTTTAATATGAAAAGCCAGTTTATGAATTTGTCGCTCACTCAGGGTGGTCTCCATCAGTTCAGAAATCATCTCTGGGAGCTGGCACAGTGATACACACCTGTATTCCCAGCACTCTGGGAGCTGTGGCAGGAGTATCACAAGTTTGAACCCACCCTGGGCAACTTAGCAACTCAATGAGACTGTCTCAAACATTAAAAAAAAAAAAAGTCTGTGGATGCAGTTCAGTGCCAGAGCCTTGGGCTTAATACTCCAAGGACTACAAAACAAACACTTCTCTGATGACCGCTTCTCTGTGGAGGTGTGTAGGGACTATTAATGTGTGCTTGTCTCATTAGATGGTGAGCTCCTGGGGGTTGAGTCCAATATGGTGGCCAAAACATAAAAGGACACTTAGGACATTAAAAAAAAAAAAGGATGATGGTTCCATTCTGCTTGGTGATCATTCCTGGGAATTTGCCTGATATTACCAAGTGAAATCAATGCCTAAAGCTAGAACCATAGTCCTAGATGGACGTTGACCTCACAAGAACAGTGCTCTTCTATGGATTCACCTCCCTGGATTCTTTTTAGTTTACATTTTGTGGTGTGTATATTTTGTGATGGGTTTGAATATCATTATTGTCATATGTGGGGGAGGAGGCCTGCAGAGAATGAGTACAATGGGAAAGCGTAAACTAAAGTAGGAGTTGAGAAAATCATCTGTAGTGTCGCAGTTGTTGGGTAGTGCAGTATTGCAGGAAGGGAGGATCCATACATTCGGTACAGAAGTTGAGATGGGGAGAAATGACAATGCAGGTGACAGAACTAGGAAAGAGATTCCAGTAGGCAGAGAATTAACTTTGCATCCAAATAAACATCAGGGTGAACGACCAGCTCAACCTGCATATAATGGAGAGTTTGAGAAAGATGATTAAGAACATAAAACAAAGGAAAACACAAGATGGTTAGCCCAGTATCACTCAAATGTCAGCACTGTGTAGCTGGGGATGCATCTTCCATTTCTCCTTATTTTTTTTCTTATAATTAACTTCTTTGTACTTAGCTGTAGAGCTTCAAAGCTTAAGTTTTTTCTTAACATCTGTAAAATATATTAAAACTTACAAATATAAAGTAAGTTTTGATTGTTGTCTACCCTCTTATTTAATCCCCGAGACATATTTTTTTGAGTTTTTTTCCATCAATAAAGAGGTACTAAGAATATCTGTAGTTTGAAATTTTTATGATTTGAATTTTTTCACGATCACATTTCCTATTAAATTCATCACTTAACAAATAGATTTTGCAAAAATTATCTGGAGCTATGTTTTTGTCCAGTAAGAGTCTCACATTCTAGTCATCATGAGAGAATTTCTACTTGTATAAATGTTCTCCATTTTGAAGTGAAAGATACTCTCAAAGAATAAACCTATGAAGAACAGCTAGAAAAATTCTCAAGTACTCTTAAATAAACTTCACAAGACTCAGGCTTATGATAGGAATTTCATTTGTATTTTAAACTTTAGTTACAGTTATTTGAAACTCTTGTGGTGAGTGTGTTATTTCTAGCGTAGTAAGTTTTAAGTGCTGAAGAAGCTCATGTTGAGAGGAAATCAAAGGTGGTATCAGTTGCTGAATGTGATCGCTTAATGGTCTCTCCGTGGCTCACTATTGACTTGTGATATTTGAACTAGAGGAGATGGTTCCATCGTCAGCAGCAATAGACTTGGGCCTCCACTTTTTACATCTAGCAAGGTGGGAAAAATACTGTATTTTTGCCAAATAGCATCACTGATAACTGAAAAACACAGATTTGAAGCTCTTGTTTGCTGCTTATGAATGACTTCATCTTAAGATTGGAGATACTGGCCGGGGATTTAGCTCAGTGGTTCCAGCGCCTGCCTCGCAAGCACAAGGTCCTGAGTTCGATCCCTGGTAACAACAACAAAAAAAAGATTGGAGATACTAGGAGGACAGAGCCTTTCTCAGTCTAGTTCACTAAGTTACTCCCAGTGCTTTGAACAGTACCTGGTATGGAGTGAGTCCTCATAAATGCTTATGACTGAATGAATGTTATATACTACATAGTACTTTAGCGTATGTTATTTGTAATGTAATTTTAAAGTAACCCTCTAAAGTACATTGTGAGAAGTATAATTTTTAGATGAGGAAACATAGAGGCTTAAATTAAGGGATAGTGAATAATACAGCCTGGGTCTCAAATCTAGACTTTTTTTCACTTTTAAGTTCAACTCCCCTTCTTCCCCTCCCTTCCTTTTCTGTATCAGACTATTTGTTTCTTTCCTCTGGGTCTTGAGTAATCTAAGAGGGAAGTGGGGGTTAGACAGAGGAAAAATTTATGGCCATCCCTTCAGAAACCCTCCCTCTGAGGGAGGTAGCAGAGAGAAATGTATTACAGATGAGGCCCTTGCAGACGACTGCCTGGGTTCTAATCTCAGCTGTGCTACTTACTGGTATGCGATCTTGGACCAGTAAGTCCATCTGACTTTTTTCTGCTGGATTTATCATCTGCGCAATGGATGTGATAGTAGTGCTGCAGTCAAAGGATTACTATGAGGAGTAAATCGAAGGAAGTAATATTTTTGAAGTGCTTAGAGCAGTAGCACATAGTATGTATTATATAAGGTTTATTAAACAAAATATGGATGCTTGTCATAAGCTAATAGACCTTAGAAAGGTGCCCATTTAGACCACTTAAACTTTTGGTGGTAAGACATGGAGTATGACTGGATTGTTTTGTTCCTTTGTTTTTGCTGGTTACCTCAGTCTTTTGTCTGTTAATTAAACCCCACCTTGCTGTCCACTTTTCAGCTGCAGTTATTGCCCTCTTGTGGAGTCATCTCTTTACCTGTCCTTATTAAAAACTTTTTAAAACCAGTTTTCCAAGAAATCTTCAGTAATGAGTTACTTACTGTCTTTTCTCTGTGAGCCTGATTATAGTTCATACTTTCCCATCTTCAAATCACAAGGCCAAAATATAAATGAGAATTCAGTATTTATTTACAGTCTGTACATGTGCATAGTTTTCTTATTGTATGCTTTTTAAATATGTTTAATAATACAGTAATGGATGTTTTAAGAGTATACCATATGTTTTATAAACATCATCTCTTATAATCCTTAAAAACCTAGGGGGACAGATACTTCCCTGTTATGAAATTGAAGTTTAAAGAGGGTAGTTTCCCCCAAGTGCCGACATACCTGGTTGGAGGAGGAGCCACATTTAAAGTGAAACTCCTTAGTCTTAGCTTGTTTCTGGAGCCTCTTGTCTTTCCATGGAGAGGGTCATTACATGGGGACTGATTTCAAAGCTGTGAAGCATAATTTGCATAGCAAAGTTCAAAGTCTCATGTGTGTTCGGTGCTAAAAAACCTCAGATTGGTGAAGGGAAGTAATTTAATAATCATAATAATTTTCATGACAGACCATCTGAATTTTAATTTTAAAAACTCTCAAGTGAGGCAAATGTTTTCTTTTAAATATGTGGTTTTTTGTTTTGTTTTGTTTTTAAATCTAGATGAATTGAGCATGTTCATGTATGACTCACAGCTGTGCTACACAGGAACCTTTCTTTCTTGTTTCAGACGTCTGACCTGTTTCCTTTGCTTTTTATATATTGTCCTCAGTCCATATGGCAGGTACAGGTTATCTTACATGCTATTTTTGTCAACTAGATTTTTTTAAAAGCTGCTAACAGAATAAACTCTGAAGAGCCGAGTTCATCACAGTACATGGTATTTCTAGTATCAACTTTTTCTTAATAACATTTAGTTCCAGGCACATTGTAGCTGTGATTGTGACATTGAATTTAAACTCTGAATGTTGTCTCTTTTTTTTGAGACGGGGTTTCACTGTATAGTTCAGACAGGCCTTAAACTCAGTATGTAGTCCAGGCTGGCCTCAAACTTGAGGCAGTCATCCAACGTCAGCCTTCCAAGTGTTAGGTTTACAGGCGTGCATCACCATGCCCACCTTCGACTGCTGTCTTTGTCCTTGTAGGCATTCCATATCTTCTATCCCTGTAGACTTGCCTATGCCATTTAAAAAATAAATGGAGATACCAAATCAACTGGAATGCCAGCATTTTATTTTTTGGGAAAAATATAGAATAGATAAGTAACCATTAACCCTGCTCCTTCTATTTTGTACTTGTAGTACCAGAAGAAAACATTGCAACTATGAAGTATGGAGCCCAGGTTGTAAAAGGGGAGCTGAAGTCTGCCCTACTGGACGGTGATACTCAAAATTATGATTTGGATCATGGATTTTCTCGCCACCCAATTGATGATGATTGCCGTTCAGGCATTGAGATTAAGCTAGGTCAGCCATCCATTATCAATCACATACGGATTCTCCTGTGGGACCGAGACAGCCGGTGAGTCATTAGCTTGACTTAGAAGCTGACCTGTTTGATGGCGATGACCTAACTTTTTGGTCGCTTTGGTTTTACAGATTTTAGTGCTTTATTTCTATGTGATTAGTCTGCTATTTTTCTTGAAGGTTAGTTTTGTGGGAAGACTTAGATTATATTTCTTTTTTAAAAATGACATATTTTCCCTCTGTTTGTACAAGTACTGTTTTTTTATGTGTGAAGAATCGAAAGTGAAGAAGACCACATAGAAGAAAATAAAAATTGGTAGTAATCTCACTATGTGTTATTAAATTTTATGTGTATCTAACTGTAGTCTCCCCCTGCAATGCCAGTACCAGGGATTGAACCCAGAGGTAGGAAGGTGTCTACCACTATATTTCTGACCCTCTAATATTTGATTTATGTCTGTGTGTATGAAATTATTTATTATTTTATATTGGTGCATGCTTGCAGTCCATAATGGTTGTGTTCCTCGTGGGAAATTGGCACATGTACATAACATCTTAATTTTTTTTGTTATGGGTAGATTTGTGCATGCCCACATGCACACAAAATAAACCTGCACATCATTTTAAAAAATAAAGATTAGTGGGCCGGGATGTAGCTCAGTGGTGCCACACCTGCCTGGCAAGCGCAAGGTCCTGAGTTTGATCCATGGTTCTGCAAAAAAAAAAAAAAATTAAAGTTTAGACATAAAGAACTAACTTCACTTTTTAATTAATATATTTTAAACATTCTAACCTTTTAAAAAGATTTCTCTTAAATGTTACTTCTAATGGTTTCCTGGTATGCTAACACATTATTTACTGGATTCCTTACTCTTAGATATTATAATAATTTCTTTTGTGAATAATTGTGTGTGTCTGTGTTTTTAGTAGTGCTGGAGATCAAACCTAGGGCTTTGTACATACTAGGCTAGCACTCTATCATGAGCTATGTCCCCAACTCTATAATAACTTTTTTTTGGTATCGGGGATCAAACCCGGTCCTTGCGCTTGTGCAGCAGGTGGCGAAACCACTGAGCTAAATCCCCGGCTCTATAATAACTTTAAAATGCGGTTTATCCCATGAATTAAGAGAGCCACTATCTTTTAGTATATGGATAAATAGCCTCAAAACAGGAAATTCATGAAAAAATTTAGTGGATCATAGTCTGGGAAGCTACCCATTTTCTCAGTGGCTTCAGGATTCTGCTTTCTTTCTAGCCACTCCACTACTTTTACTCATGGTGGCTTCTATAGTTCATCCATGATGGCAGAATACCAGGGCAATATGGGAGATCAGGAATAAACTGTCTCTGTCATTGCTGTTTATATTAGTTTAAACTGTACACACCCAGAAACTATGTCTTGCTTGTATGTGTTTGGGTATGGGCTCGAGGGGCTTAATAGTAACAATGATGGTGCCCTGTGAACTTTGCAGGGTAGTGCATTTCTCTTATTAGCTCCACTGGCCAACACCCTGGCATTTGAGTCTATTTGAGCCACACATGAGGGAAAAGATGAAAGTCAGTATTTTCATGTGCATGGGTGTTTTGAGGTTCCCAAGTTATAGCTCCCTGTCTTATTTTTCAGTGCTGGGGTTCGAACCCAGGGCCTTATGCAGGCTGAGCAAGCACTGTACAACTTAGCTATATCCCTGGCTACTTCCCTGTTTCTTAAAAACACATTTCCTAATAGTCAAGATCCCAGAAACCCAACAGAAGAACAAAATCCTACAGGCAGTTAGAGAAAAGAAACAAATCACCTACAAAGGAAAGCCCATCAGAATCACGGCAGACTTCTCAGCACAAACCCTCAAATCAAGAAGAGCCTGGAGTGAAGTATTTCAAGCCCTAAAAGAAAATAACTTCCAACCTAGAGTGTTGTATCCTGCAAACTTTAATTTCCCCATCGATTTTGAAAGATACTTCCACGACAAAGAACACCTGAGAAATTTCATGAACACCAAACCAGCACTCCAAACAATTCTAAGCAATATCCTAGAAAAAGACAACAAAGGTTACAACTCCGTGAGGCCCAACAGAGGGAAGCCTCCAGGCAAGGTAAGAAACTAAAGGGAATGGGGGGAAAAAATAAATAAAAGAGCCAATAACAATAAAACATCATGACAAGGATGAGTCAATATCTATCACTTATAACTATCAATGTTAATAGCCTCAATTCACCAATCAAAAGAAACAGACTGACAGAATAGATTAAGAAGCAAAATCCAGCAGTATGCTGTATACAAGAAACACACCAAACTCAGATTCATAGACTGAAAGTAAAAGGTTGGAAAACAGTTCTCCACATGACAGGAAACCAGAAAAAAGCAGGTGTAGCAATCTTATTTGTAGACAAAGTAGATTTCAAACCAGAACTAATTAAGAGAGACAAAGATGGTCACTACATCCTTGTGAAGGGAACAATCCAAGAGGAAGAGATGACAAGCCTAAATAATATATGCACCAAATACAAATGCTCCAACTATACAAAACAAATATTAATGGACATGAAAATCCAAATAAGCACTAATACAATTATAGTGGGGGAACCTCAGTACCCCACTATCACAAAGAGATCGTCTAGACAAAAAATTAACAACGAAATTCTAGAACTGAACCAAGCTGTTGAACAAATGGACTTAATAGATGTTTCTAGAGTGTTCCACCCCACAAAATCAGAATACACATTCTTTTTGGCTGCACTCAGGTCATTCTCCAAAATAGACCACACATGCTAGCTCATAGGACATGTCTAAGTAAATGTAAAAGAATTGAAATTATCCCCTGTATATTATCAGACCACAGTGCAATAAAATTGGAGATCAGTAACATAAGAAACTGCAAAACTCCCACAAACACATGGAAATTGAATAACACCCTTCTGAACAACCAGTGTGTCACAGAGGAAATTAAAGAAATTAGACAGTTTCTACTAGAAGATAATGCCAGTACAACATACAGGAATCTATGAGACACAATGAAAGCAGTTCTACTCGGGAAATTCATAGCAGTGAATGCCCGTATTAGGAAAACAGAGAGAACTCAGATAAATAACCTAATGCAGAACCTCAAGCTCCTAGAAAAAGAGCATAACAAACCCAAAGCTCATACAGGGGAGGAAATTATAAAGATCACAGCAGAAATCAATGCAATGGAGACTAAGAGAATGATATAAAAAATTAATGAATCAAAGAGTTGGTTTTTCAAAAGAATAAAATTGATAAACCTTTAGCCAACCTTATCAAAGAAAAGGAAAGAAAAGGCTCAAATCCATGCAATTAAGAATGAAAAAGGTAAAGTCACAACAGACCCAGCAGAAATCCAGAGGGTCATCAATATCTACTTCGAGAACCTGTACTCTAATAAAATGGAAAATACAGAAGAAATGGACAGATTCCTAGATACATATGAATTGCCAAAGTTAAATGAAGATATAGAAATTCTAAACACCCCAATTACAATGAGTGAAATTGAAAATGTAATAAATTTACC